GTTATTATTATTGATATTTTTATTATTATTGATATAATTTTTGTTATTATTATTGATATGATTTGGGTTATCATTATTGATATCATTTTTGTTATTATTGATATCATTTTTGTTATTATTATTGATATGATTTGGGTTATCATTATTGATATCATTTTTGTTATTATTATTGATATCATTTTTGTTATTATTATTGATATCATTTTTGTTATTATTATTGATATCATTTTTGTTATTATTATTGATATCATTTTTGTATTATTATTGATATCATTTTTGTTATTATTGATATCATTTTTGTATTATTATTGATATCATTTTTGTTATTATTATTGATATTTTTATTATTATTGATATCATTTTTGTATTATTATTGATATCATTTTTGTATTATTATTGATATCATTTTTGTTATTATTATTGATATCATTTTTGTTATTATTGATATCATTTTTGTATTATTATTGATATCATTTTTGTTATTATTGATATCATTTTTGTTATTATTATTGATATCATTTTTGTATTATTATTGATATGATTTGGGTTATCATTATTGATATCATTTTTGTATTATTATTGATATGATTTGGGTTATCATTATTGATATCATTTTTGTTATTATTATTGATATTTTTATTATTATTGATATAATTTTTGTTATTATTGATATCATTTTTGTATTATTATTGATATGATTTGGGTTATCATTATTGATATCATTTTTGTTATTATTGATATCATTTTTGTTATTATTGATATAATTTTTGTTATTATTATTGATATCATTTTTGTTATTATTATTGATATAATTTTTGTTATTATTATTGATATAATTTTTGTTATTATTGATATAATTTTTGTTATTATTGATATAATTTTTGTTATTATTGATATAATTTTTGTTATTATTATTGATATCATTTTTGTTATTATTATTGATATTTTTATTATTATTGATATCATTTTTGTATTATTATTGATATAATTTTGGTTATCATTATTGATATCATTTTTGTATTATTATTGATATGATTTGGGTTATCATTATTGATATCATTTTTGTATTATTATTGATATCATTTTTGTTATTATTATTGATATCATTTTTGTTATTATTATTGATATAATTTTTGTTATTATTGATATAATTTTTGTTATTATTGATATCATTTTTGTATTATTATTGATATAATTTTTGTTATTATTATTGATATCATTTTTGTTATTATTGATATCATTTTTGTATTATTATTGATATAATTTTTGTTATTATTGATATCATTTTTGTTATTATTGATATAATTTTTGTTATTATTGATATCATTTTTGTATTATTATTGATATCATTTTTGTTATTATTGATATCATTTTTGTTATTATTATTGATATTTTTATTATTATTGATATAATTTTTGTTATTATTATTGATATAATTTTTGTTATTATTATTGATATTTTTATTATTATTGATATCATTTTTGTATTATTATTGATATAATTTTGGTTATCATTATTGATATCATTTTTGTTATTATTGATATCATTTTTGTTATTATTGATATCATTTTTGTTATTATTATTGATATCATTTTTGTTATTATTGATATCATTTTTGTTATTATTATTGATATGATTTGGGTTATCATTATTGATATCATTTTTGTTATTATTGATATAATTTTTGTTATTATTGATATAATTTTTGTTATTATTATTGATATGATTTGGGTTATCATTATTGATATCATTTTTGTATTATTATTGATATGATTTGGGTTATCATTATTGATATCATTTTTGTTATTATTGATATAATTTTTGTTATTATTATTGATATAATTTTTGTTATTATTGATATAATTTTGGTTATCATTATTGATATCATTTTTGTTATTATTGATATAATTTTTGTTATTATTGATATAATTTTTGTTATTATTGATATAATTTTTGTTATTATTATTGATATGATTTGGGTTATCATTATTGATATCATTTTTGTATTATTATTGATATGATTTGGGTTATCATTATTGATAGCCTAAGACTTCTTTCCCTGTAGACAGATTAACCACAGGCAATGTTCGATATCTAAAAAAGAAAAGCAAAGACTATGAAATCTGATACACTAAAAATTAAAATAAAAACGAATAGAAAAAAATCATACATAAATAATATAAGATAATATGAAAGGGTTTACTGGAATGCGGAGGTTAAATTTGTACTTTGAATTTCTAAATGCACACACGCTTCTACCTGAAACACAGAAAAAATAATTAGCAAACAACCCAAGAGTGGAACGAGCGCGTGCCTCACAATGCACAGTTGTACAGTTCAGTGTTTTGTTACAGTGTTGCATCAGAAAATCAAAGAAAAATGTCTCTATGGAAAGAAAACCAGTTAAAAGACAAACATACATACACAGACACAAAATAAATTAGATGAACACTTTTCTGATAGACCTTTGTAAATGTGAACAATGAGAGGCTTTATATCGTGAACGTTCATATTAATGATATTAATGAAAAGACTTACGTGTTCTTATCGTCAGTGTTGTCACAGATATTTTGAAGAGAGCTTATGATATTTCCAGAATTGTATAAGATAAAAATAGACTTTTTAAAAAGATAAATGACAGAGTTTTATTAATCCTTCAAACACGCACACACAAAACCCCCCCACACAAAACACACATGCACACAGAACCATACACACAAAACACACACACACATACACACACACTTTTATACATATACTTAAAAGAAAGAAGGGGGGGTATAGGGAGATAGAGGGAGAGAGGAAGAGAGAGAAAGAGAGAGAGAGAGAGAGAGAGAGAGAGAGAGAGAGAGAGAGAGAGAGAGAGAGAGAGAGAGAGAGAGAGAGAGAGAGAGAGGGAGGGAGGGAAAGGGGAATGTAGGGAGACAGAGATAGATAGAGAGATAGATAGATAGAGAAAGAGAACGTGAGAAAGAGAGGGAGAGAAAGAAAGAGAGAGAGAGAAAGAGAGAGAGAGAGAGAGAGAGAGAGAGAGAGAGAGAGAGAGAGAGAGAGAGAGAGAGAGAGAGAGAGAGAGAGAGAGAGAGAGAGAGAGAATGATAGATGATTCTCCTATAACATAGTACTTCGGGGTTAGTTTGCATGTCACTCTTGTGTGTGTGCGTGCATGAGGGTGTAAACACGCACACTTCCCTCATGGGGATCACATGGGGCTTCTTGCAGGATTTATTCATGCAAGTTTCTACTTTCTATTGGCATGAGGTACATTTTACCGACAGACATATACGAAAGAAAGGCCCTATTAGTGGCTTGCTTTAACGTTTGTGTTTAATATTGATTATCATTTGCTTGATAATAATGATCGTGATGATAATGTCAATAATAATAATAATAACAATAATAATAACAATAATAATGGTAAGAATAATAATAACAATAATAATAATAATAATAATAATAATAATAATAATAATAATAATGATAATGATGATAATAATAACAAAGATAATAATAGTAATGATAATAATAATGATATTGATAATAATATTGATAAAATGATAACTATAATGATAATGAGTATGGCAATAATAACGATAATTATAATAATGATGATAATGATAATGACAACAATAATGATAATAGTAATGGTGATAGTAATAATAACAATTATGATGATGATGATGATAATAATAATAGTTATAATAAGAAAAAAATAATTATAATGGTAATAACTTTAACAGTAATAGCATCAATAACCATAAAAAAATAATGACAATAGCAACAATAATATGTGGCCTCCGGTCTGTTGTGATAAACATTTGGTCAATTATCCCATACGACCCACATCGCATGAAGAAGGCCACAGGAGCGTCGCAGGTAGGAAGGCAAAGAGACGGACAAACAAACACTTATAGAGAAGACACAGTAGACAAAAAATGGTACGTGGATAGAAAAGGCGTTTTAGACACATAGAAACAGTGAAAGTTACATAGTGATACGAAAGATCGAATAGATATACAACACACATGGTAATAGGAATGGTACGCTGGAAAAAAAGAGACAGTAAAAAACTACAACAGAGAAACAGACGAACGACAAGGTACCAGGAAAAGCAATCAATAGAGATGCGTTAGGCCTATTGATCTTGCAATGTATATTTAACAGAGTAGGGAGGCGGATATTAAGAGAAAACCT